AAATAGTTTTATTTCTAGTATTCTCGACTATTGAAGTGAAACCTGTAGAAAATAATTAATTAAAAAATAGCGTTAATGATTTTAATTAAAAAGCAATATGATATTATAGTATTTAAAATATCTCTATATCATATAGAATTTTAAATTCCAAAACGTTGGATAAATGAATTCCCGAAGTAAGGAAAGAAAACAAGCCATTGTCACGCATCTTCATATAATTGATTTTTTTTTAAGTATTATAAAATAATATAACAAAATATTAAAATTACAATGCGTTATCGAATTGAACAATTATATCAGACATTGATAAAATGGGAACCGGCATATTAAGACAAGAAAATATTGAAATTTCAAATAACGCGGTTAAGAATATTAAAATGTTACTATGAGTGTATATGTAATAAATGAAGCCAATTGGACTTTTTTCCCCCCTTTTACAAATAAAGCACCCTCTGCTGTCTCATACTGCAATGGAAAAAAATATAGGGAAGAGAGCAAATATACATGCATCCAATATTGTATTAGGCTACTCTACTTATATATATATCCATCAATTTGAATAACATGTTTTATTTGTCTGTGAAAGAAATGTTTAAAATATTGTACCAAAGCCGACTTCATGTAAATATATCGATTGTCATTTGTTTATTGTAAAAATACAAAATATGTAAATTAGTTAGAGACATATAAAAACTATCTTTTGTTTGTTGCGTTTGTTAAACTTCTCTCGCTTATTAAATTGCTTTTGATTGCCAAACGACTCGCTAATTATTTCCAACACTACAATATATTGATAAGCTATGAAAAAAATCATCTCCTTATCCTGAAATTTGCTGATGGCTTGCGCTATCTATCGGAACAAATATTTGGAATAATTAAAAATCAACGAGAAAATTTGATATTTGTTCCTATAGATTGCGTAAGCCATCAGCAACTTTCAGTTACACGATAAGGAGATGCCTTTTTTCATAATTTATGCACCTTATCCCAGTACAATATCACATTTGTATTATTTTTTTCATATTGATAAGCATCAAAAATGTTAGACAGGATTTATAAAAATAGGATGTCATGACAAAGCGACCTGTACTTGGGTTCCAACACACACCGTTCTAGTATAGAAGTGGGTAGTTTTAAGTAAAGGAGTGTGTTAGAATCCTACAATCCCCCACAACCCCCTAATTAACCTAATGGCCATGTTTTCCCGCCCCTCATGGGTAAAATTAGGAAGTTTTTCTAGTTCTGATAAGCTCTGTAGAAAAACTTAATGACGAAACATTGCCGTAAAAAAATCCAATGTAGACCCTGAATAAAAGAAAAGTGGATTTTCCTTTTTATGTGAGAGAAAACACTTGTTTTAAATTTATTTCATGAAGTAATGGTAGTATTTCTATTATAGGGAATATTAGAATCAAGATTTAAGACAGAGAAAGTACTAATTCAGTAAAATATCAGGCCTACAGGGAAAAGTATATTTTCAAAAACATTTTTATTCTCTAGTTTTCGGGCACGGACGTCCTTCTACAAGATAAAACATGGTATAATAATTCGCCAATAGAACACGAGTTAAAATATAATCAGATACTATTTTACATATTTTAGAAAAATATTTTATAATTTTTAAAATATTTTAATCAATATTAATACAAGGGATTATTTTTTGAAAATACTAATTATTTGCTACAATGCAGTTCAAACTGATAAGTACATTGAAGGCTAAGAATATGTTTATTCGTGCGTTGATTGGCTGTTCACTGTTACGTGACCTTGATCAGCCAATAATCGTTGAATTCATTAGCCAATCAATGAGTAGTGTTTTTTTTAGCTCAGTTGTTGCATTGTGTAATGAGAAGAACTATAAGTTTTGATATCTCTTTTTTTGTTTGTTTGTTTGAGATAGTAAACATGGTTTTATTTCTAGTATTCTCGACTATTGAATGAAACCTGTAGAAAATAAATAGATTATTGAAAAATAGCGTTAATTATTTTAATTAAAAATCAATATTATATCATATATTATTTTATCTCGCTGTAAAGTGAGAAGTCAAAATGAAGAATCAAAGTAAAATCTACTAAGTCAACTTCAACCTATCTATGATGTATATATTTTCAAAATATTGTTCCTTAAATCTTGTAATTTCAATATCATTAGTTTTTTTTTATATGTAAATAATGTCTATATAAGTATTCATCATTAATTTGGTAATGTTATACTCCTGTTGAAGGACTGACAGGTCCGAAAGCTTTAATTTTTTTTCTTGTCCCAGGTCTGGACTTCAAGTCTAGACCAGATCCTGAAGGCCATGCCTCTTTATCGCCTCGATGACCACTGCTAGGTCGGTGTAGATGTCTGTTCGGCAATGCCTGATGCATTACATGATGTGTTCTGGGCTCGCTGGAAAATCCTGACATTTCGGGAAAGTTTGGGATCCACTTGTGAAAATCATTAGACGTAGATGGCCTGTTATAAGACGGGAAAGCATGGTGAAGTCTGATCTGTTAAGTTGTGAGTTGATTTTCAGGACTGAAGCTTTAAAATAAAAGGTTGAACAAGTAACTTAGCCCTAGAAGCATTATTTTATTAAATAATTTACAATAAGAGAGAGAAGCGACCTTTTCTTTTATAGATCCATTTCCTCTCGGCAAAAATTCCATATAATTGTTTAGTTAACTTATCGTTATTTATAATTTAGAACTTATATATTTTCTCTGTTACTATCTCTGGAAAGTCACCGCGAAAAAGGAAATAGAAAACAGTTTCACTCAAAATTTAATAAAAATTTTAGACTCTAGGGGATATTCCTTTCTTAAGGGCTGCGAAGACTACTTAGTCATACAGAAAAAACTGCCAGGCATAATTAGAACCACCACAGACCAACTAATTCAAAACGATCAGATGAAAATCATTGATTCAACCCACTTTGCTCACTACAAATTTTTGAGTGAATCATAATGACAGAGGAGTACCTACGATTAAATATCTCGCTTCCCAACAAAAGACTAGTTGCACAACATAGAGTTTTATGGCAATTTTTCAGGGAAGAAAATGGCCGGAACAGTTTAATTTGTAAGGATCTCATGGATGATTATTTGGTTCACTATTTCTTCCAATGCCCTCTCTTAACAGAAACACGTACTGAAATTTTTTCCCAAGCCCTAACTTTGGTCAATTTAGATACCATCGCATATGTCAACTTCTCTCTTCAGCTCTGGATGATGAATTACTGATTGTTAGAAACTTTAGGTTCTGCACAGAAGCTGGGCGCATGAGAAAGAATGCAGGGCAAAGGATACTGGAGGATGACCTATCTGTAAATATGTAACTGAATGTGAGACAAACTTTATGTTGTTGATGTGTAAATACGGCGAATCGTATATGGGGCGGAATGCCCTAAATAAAGGCTTTTGTTGCTGTTGTCGTTGTATATATTATCTGTTTACTGGTTGAATGGAAAGTAAAATATTGTGCTGTGCCTTATCTAGAGTAAAATATATTTTGCATTTATATTTGAAATATTTAAGATTATCAAATAATGTTATATTCTTCAAAAAATTTTAAAAATGGTTTCTTTGTACGGTTTAAATTCAAAAATAAAGGTTATTTTTATAAATATCAGAATATATTCGTGCGAATTATGAACAAACTGCGATTTAAAAAGATTAAGGTATAATGATATTTTGAAAAAGAAGCTAATTTTACAATTTGAAAATTTATAAACAACTTTACATTATACCAAATTCATATTTTCGATACATATACATACATACATTCAATACATACATATTTACATACGATGTAAATCAATAATAATTATTATTTATAATCTGTAAATTTATATAGAAAACTAAATTCAATCTAATCAAGTATAATATTTGAATAGTTAAAATTAAAACAAGAAATAGAAAGAGAGAATATATATATTTTTTTGTGAGAGAGAATTAGTTTGGATTTTAATTCTTAAATCAGACGATTCTAGAGTGGCGTGATATTGAGAGAAAAAGGCTTTTAAAACGCGCTCGAGAAAGAAAGAGAGATATGTAGTTAAATAGAATTAGAAAAAGGGGAAAATAAATATTTATTTAGGAACTGAATACAAAAAGAAAGGCAAAAAATCATTTATTGCGAAGTTTAAAGAGAGGAAGCAGTGTGTCTATTGGAAAAACATTACACAGGGAACTAGTTGTTTTAATGTTAGACATGTCAACCGATCTACCCCTCTCTTTCTTGGAATAAACTGCCAGACGACTTACATCTCCCCTACCTTATTATGTATGTGTACGTCTGCATATTTTCTTGGTTGGTTTCACGGATACCAATATTCACCCCGAATATCGTTTTTTATTATTATGTTTCTTATTTGTTTAATGTATATGTCTATTCAATGCTATTTTTCTTAATTGTTTATTTTCTTTTTGACAATTCTGTTACCTACTCCACTACAATATGAATTATAGTAAATAGTGTCATGCGCAATTATCCAGATAGGATATACCGCGTCTTATTTGCAAATGGTAATAAATAAATAAATATTTTAATAAATATAAACAATATATTAATTACATATATTTATATAGTTGTTTCTAATATATTTTTATAAGACACTTATAAGTAATATTTTATATTAGAGTGTTTTTTTATTTATTTGCATTTTTTCACCTCTTATAATTAATATTGAGAAGTATATTTTTTAAAATAAAGAAAACCAATAATTGGTAAAAGGGTATACTTATAAATTTGTAGTGTCCTATATAGTTGTCCTTATGTACATATGGGATTTGCAAGATGAATGCTGATATCTATTTAAACACACAATATTCTATAATACAATATAATGCGGCTTGTGATTGTAAAACGAAATTCGAAAATTATCCCGCACGTGTTTCTTTTCAACGATAATTCAAAATTTATTTTAAGGAGAAATAACGATTATTTCTAACCTTAGGGATGAGGTATGAAAATATGAATTGTGAAGAGTAATGATAAACGGAAAAATAAAAGTGTCCAGGGATGGGAATCGAACCCACAGTGTTCCGCTTACCGGGCAGATGCCATGTCCACTAGGCTACCCTGGACATATTTTTTCGTTCGTAAATAATACATAAAGTAATTTCTAATACAATATAATGCGTCTTGTGATTGTAAAACGAAATTCGAAAATTATCCCGCATGTGTTTCTTTTCAACGAAAATTCAAAATTTATTTTAAGGAGAAATAACGATTATTTCTAACCTTAGGGATGAGGTATGAAAGGATGAATTGTAAAGAGTAAAATATTGACACAACTTTCTATTATTGGAAATTTCAACTATTTATGACCCGCGTATGATTCTTTTAAATGAATCATTTCTACTGCCCTTATTGCAAGGATAAAAATATTGGGATGGCCTGGCTTATATCAGTAGTGAACCTTACCATGGTGAGCCGGCCAAAGGAAGACAATAATGGGTTTATATAATCTGAACCCGCGACGTCTAGCGGTCGCCTTTACAGAGTAGATTTGATATAGAAAATATAATTCAAATATTCAAAATATCTATTTTTATGTTTATTAGTTGAATTTGATCAATAATGATAAGTCTGTGGCAGCTGAAAAAAATGTTATTGTTATAATCTAATTATGGTGTATAGATTAATATTTCTTCAATTAAATACAAAAATAATTACTATATGGAATTTTTAAATAAAAAGGCATATATTGGATCAAAATATAAATCATTTTACCAATATTTCAGTTGGCTGAACGCCAATCTTTATCAAGGTATTATAACATATTAATGTGTGTTAAAAGCCTTGCTCTATTTTCAAAACGATATACATTTTTATGTAAAATATATGCTATGGAATTTTAAAGCAAACGAAAATTTAAAAAAAAAGAAAGAAATAAATTTATCGGCTGATTACTTACTTTCAATCGAGATTGGTAATCCAGACGATATAGCAAATGGGATTCTTCAGAAGGTCTTGATAGCAAGCTGGAAAAACAGAAGAAATTGTTAGAGAACATTGTTTTTACATGGTTTAAATATTTTAAAATTAATTTATTAACTATTCTTTAAGTGCCCCCGGGTTTCATATTATTGACTTTCCTCTCGGTTAAAAATATCTTTTGTTTAAATTGTATGGAAACTTAATATAGGATCGATTTACATATTCAATTCTTTTTTGGATATCTTTCTAAACCTATTTATATGCTTTTTAAACTCAAAACTTAATGGAAAACTGTTTATTTAGTATAATATTATTGATATTAAAAGTGAATTACTTTTCAACATTTTATATAAATGATAATTAATATAAAATTTTATTTGAAACATTTTAAAATATTCATTTATATATCTTCATAAGACTACTTTCTTTTTATATTTATGTATTCGAAAAATCAACCAAATAAAATATATCCTGAATTATTTTTGAAATAGTTCTGCCTCTCAAAATATATACAAATAAATAATACATACATATTCACCATATATTTAGAATAAATGTTTGCCTATCTTATATTAATATTTATTTTATAGCATAGATATTTTCTACTTGTGTATGTTAAATAAAATCCAAATGGAAATTTTCGGAAATAATTGAGCACATATGCGTAAAGAATGCTTAAATTCAGTTTTTTTAATAATTTAAAAAGCGATTCCAACATTTCCTGTTTTAAAAGATCGCTCATATAATAATATGAGCTTTATAATAATAAAAACCTTTAGTTGCACGATCGCAAGATGTCTTTCTCTTATAATATATCAACCTAATCTCAGTACAATCTCACTCTTTTGCACTAATTTTTGCATAACATTAATATCAAGTAATGCATTGACCCCAACTATATAAAGCTTCTTTCGAATTTACTATAACAGATAATGTGTGCGATGGTAAAAATATATTCCATGTAAAAGACTGTATATGCAAGATGAACAAAATATGTCTAAAAATCAATCAAAACATTTTATGATTTACTAGGCGAATGACCCGGCTTCGCCCGAGAAATCCGTTGGGTGCAATTTCCTTCATACTAAAAGTATATCAATAATAAATATTAGAAGTGCCATAGAATAGCAATACAGAAGTAACACATAAACTACAGGAAAAAAGTGTGTGTGATGGCAAAAATTGTATTATATTAGTGTTTTTTATAAATTAGTTTTAAAAATTGTAAAAAAAAAAAATGCATCTGCCGGGAATCGAACCCGGGCCGCCCGCGTGGCAGGCGAGCATTCTACCACTAAGCCACCGATGCTTTAAAAAAATGGCCATATTTAGGTATTCATTCCATTCCGGATTAGTCCGCGTAAAAAAATAGTTCTTCAAATTAAAAAAAGAAATAGCCAAAAATAATAAGCAAAATGTAGCCAAAAATTTTCCTCAGGTTTATAAAAAGCGACATGCAAAATTTGGAACCAATTGGTTCAGTAGTTTTTGAGTTTATCGCGAAACAGACAGACAGACAGGAATTGACTTTTATATATATAGAGAGAGAGAGAGAGAGAGATACAACAGAATCTTTAATCTAATTAATATCAAGTATTACACTGATCCAATCTAGGTATAACCACCTATCTCTCTTCACATTAACTATAATATATAGTATATATTCCATTTAAAGAGGAGCTATATAGAGAAAGAGAAAAGTATGGAAAATTAACTAATGTGGTTTTATATAGTTTGGATAACAAGGAGAGATACTATGTATTTATTCGATGTATAGGAGCCGTATAGACAGGGGAAGAAGTGTACAAAAGACGCCCCTGACAATAAATTGTCGACCAAGCGCCATAAATTGTAACCTTGTAAAACTTTGGTGTGTTGTTAAAGTAAAATATCTCCCTTTCTCCAAGAAGTTTATGTTCGGGTGCCACCAATATCAAATTTATTAGCGCATTTACAAATTTATAGGTCATAAATCCGCGGTTGAAATATTAGGACAAAAAATGAATGACATCCTCTAAATTGTCGACTTATAAACGAAGCTAATTACTCTATGTGTTGTGTTTTCTCTTTCTCTCATCCTATGTTCTACATTATCTTTGAATATTCGGCTCTATTCGGTCTTATGTTATTGATAGCTGGTGTTTAGACACAAATTGAATCATTAACTACAATTTGTTTGTAATCAAAGTAATATGCGCCTTAATATAGGTTCATACCTATTTAGTGTGTTATGGATGAAATTATTCCGCGATTTTTTTTAAATAAAGGATGATTCTATATTTTTAGTTAGTGAGGTTGAAAATTTTGAGATGGGTTGTCTCATCAATAGTGAATTCTTTCCAGCGATTTTGTAAATTTAATCGACCAAAACGCTATAAATATTGTATGTCCATTCTTTTATATAGCCTACACTTGAAGATGTATTCTTGATAATGCTATTACCGAAAACTATAAGAAAAATATTTCTGTAATATTTGTAAAATATCTACAATTATAAAACTATACATCTTTTCATTTCATACATTTATTTCGAAGATTGAGGTACCTCTTCTTTACTTGTATACCATATTCTCGTATTTTGACAAAGAATATATATATATTTTTCCGATCAAAATACAACTAAATAAAGCAATTTCATATATGTTATTGCCACACACATTTTATAGTTATAAAAGTCTTAAAATACATTTTATGGTTTAATATAAATTTTAAAAATATATATTTTTAAATAGAAAAAAAGGTAAGGTGTTGTGTGATATTAAAAACAGAATAGGTATATCCTGACGGCTCACAGTGTGAGTACACTGCTTATTATGTTTTTAATGTTAATAAATGGAACTTAAAAATTGGCATCAATATAATAAGATGTTTATTTGAGTCCATCTAAAGGACTAACGAGCTACGCCATCCTCTTAATGGCAAGTTGCTCTGTGCATTGTGTCAAATAAGGTCACCTAATGAATAGGTCCTTAAGTCCAGTGTTGGTACGCCGCACACGGGTAACTCTTGTCCCCTGCAAGATACTCAGATTCGATTGATCATAAGGCCAAGTTTTAGACAAGTCGGCTAGCCTAGCTTTGTCAACTGAGTGGTTCTTAAAGTATATTCTTCAGATTCTCTCAGAGCATATGACATTGTGAGGAATTCACTTACTAACGCAATATCTCTTTAATTACAGGTATTACTTTGTATTACCAATTATGTGATTAAATTTCTATTTTTATAATGAAAATATTTAAGATAATTCTTAAAAGAATGATTTCTTTATTTAAATAGAAAAAGGAAACATTCTATATATGTTGTTCTTTAATCAAACTACAATTATGTTAGAATATTGATTATATGTTTACTTTAGATAGATCTGTCATTTAACAAAAAAATAGAGCAAAATTTACCTTTTTCTCTATTACCACAGTGATCTATATCAAAATTACTGATATTATATAAATTTTGTTTCAGTTTAGTAACTATAGTGGTCTTATTAAAATAAAAATATTTTTAAAAAACTAGATAATTGTGTTTTATCATATTTTCGTCGTAAAGTAAAGGTAGTTGAAGAATTGCTATATATTCCCCGCAAAACCTTTTCTAGCGAATAAATATATCACTTTTATCCTGATGTCATATACATATACATACATACACATGTCTGTAAAAAATAATATTGCTTATAAAGTATACAATAACAAACAATAAAACACGATCGAATCTGTATGATCCCTTTTCCGTCTGTGAACAGGCAATGATAGAAAGGAAATGAAATGCGCATGCGTCAACAGAAATGAACCAATGAGCGGCTCAAGAATAAAACGAACACCATATAAATACATAGATTGAGGATAATATAATAGCGCTTTATGCGACATATTTGTAATAATTTCGTTTTAAAAAATTGTTAGATAATCTGCTAAGTTGTATAGATTCGCTTGTAAAAAAATCTGTATCTTTTTTTTTAAGTATGCAAATATTCAAAATTTCACTAATGCTTAAAAATATAAATAATTATTTTATGCCTTTCGCAAAATATCCAAATTCATATATCATTATCAATGCCAAATATTTTTAAGACAAATTCCTACAACCACTAAACGGTAAACAGACATATTAGATTATAAATATTTACTTTTAAAACCCTTTATTTGAA